CATGTCGTTCTCTTTATGTAGCATTCCAGTTATCTCAGGTCAAGATTTTCAGTGGTGAATTTTATGGTTCAGAGGACAGCCGATTGACACTGGATTGGCCTACAAGGTTTAGGATCTGTCTCGGAATAGCAAAAGGTCTAGCTTTTCTACATGAGGAATCAAGCCAAAAAATTGTACATCGGGACATCAAAGCTACCAATGTGCTGCTGGATGGGCAGCTAAATCCGAAAATATCTGACTTTGGACTAGCTAAACTTAATGAAGAAGAGAAAACCCATATTAGTACTCGAGTTGCCGGAACAATGTAAGATCACTTCATTTCTAGCAAGAAGTCTAACATATATTTTGAGTTGACATACCTACTCATCTTAACACTTGCAGAGGATACATGGCACCAGAATATGCGCTCTGGGGTTATTTGACCGATAAAGCAGATGTTTACAGCTTCGGAGTTGTACTTCTGGAAACTGTCAGTGGAAAGAACAACAATAACTACATGCCGAGCAACAATAGCATTTGTCTCTTAGACTGGGTAATAACATCTGATCCCCGTTTGCTTGCTATTTCTCCATTAACAAGGGTCAGCTTAAAAGTTTGCATGGTGAAATAAAGTTCTTACCTTCTTTTTTCTTCATCTTTAATCTCTTTTGTTGAAGTTATTAGCTGCGCCTAAAAAGCTACACTATTACAGGCCTGTAACTTGCAACAAAGTGGGAGTATAGAGGAGCTCATAGATCAGAGATTGGGTTCTGATATTAACAAACAAGAAGTGGAAAGAATAGTAAAAGTGGCACTCTTGTGCACTAGCGCCACTCCCTCACTCAGGCCTATCATGTCCGAGGTAGTGGGTATGCTTGAAGGACGAATATCCATTCCCGATGAAATTCCAGAGGCAAATACATATTCTAATGATCTGAGATTTAAAGCAATGAAAGATTTTCATCAAGAGAGGCAAAAACAGAAGTTAACTGGAAGCCAAACTCAAAACACCATGACCATACAGACTGACATGGGTTCTTCTTCTACATCTACTACTAATCTCTTCGATTCAGTCCAATTTCAGGATCAAACAGACACATAATTTCATTTCATTTCATATCTTGGCTGGCTCAATTCCTGCTTGTTGCATACTTGAGGTACTTCACATTGATTCAGGACCACCTTTGCGGGTATTTATACTTGTAATTAAGCAATTTGTTCAAATGTTTATAGCAGGCTTGCTGTACAATGTAAATACAGGTTCCAGTTTTCAGACAAAGGATGTAACACTTCTTTTACCTTTCTTATAGGAGTAGTAGGTGCTCATATGAATGCTAGGTTTCTAGGACTGAATATTTTCGTCTATATTTTGCTTCTGTTTACGCATCGTCTCTTTGCGTTTTTAACATTGCAATGTGTTAGAATGTAAAAATTTCACGCTGGGAATTATTAATATTATATGTTGCCAGGACAGTGACGTTTGGACTGGCTATCCACCCATATTATCCATTAAAAAATGGGTTGAATAATGAACTTTTTAAAAACGGGTCAAATATGGATAAGAACCATAT